ATCCAGTTATGATGTATGTTTCATTGAACTTCCAGGATTTTCATGTATTGGTCCTTCTGCTTTACTGGAAAGAAGAGACAGGCCAACACATTAAACAGACAGGAGTTAGTTATATAAGAGATAAAGGTTTGCACTGTTACTGTTGTTTTATCTTATTGACCCAACTAGGAAAGCAACCCACACTGGCACTTAGCATACAGGCACACAGGCTTCAGCGTGACCCTGATAGTTCAGCCCATACCAGCGCCTCAGATAAAGGCTACCATGGTGCAAGTGGGGACGGTGTTAAAACGGTCATACATGATAAAGCACTGGGAGAACTCATCCCTACAGCTGCCGAGGTGATATCCAGAGCATTCGGCTGGACCGCGCTATCTTAAGTGCACAGAGGAACAGCGAATCGTGGCCCATAGACACCTCGGATGGAGGTTAGTCGTGAAAGAGAAGAGATATACCCCTCCATGGGCCCCGGAGGCACTTGAGAGAGAGAGAAGAGAGTGTGACTCATGGACAGCAGCAAGAAGACAGGCAGGCAAGCTTCCTTCTGACCAGCACAACTGCAGCGCCTCAGTCCTCTTCAAACTCAGCCAGCTGTCAGTCCCTGCTGTAGTAGGCGAATGGACGATGTGGGAGTTTGCCATTTGCAGTAATTTCATCTTCTCTTGCCACTCAAGGGAGAGTCAGTGTCTAACCGGTAGTGTGATTGCTGTAATTTTATACATATTTCCAGCATTTCCATATCATCCGCTCTGTAGGAGTGGAGTGAACTCCCTCTGTGCCCTGTCTCTAAAATCATCCTAAACTCAACTCGCTGACAGCCGCTGATGTGGATGCTGTGCAAGGTTACAGTTGGCACTGACAGTAATTTCTTCTTCTCCTGCCGCTCAGGGTATGTTAGATTCAACATCTATCCAGTCTGCAGGAGTGACACAGGTGTGAGAACTTGTGTTATTCATCACATAGCTCCGGCTACAGGAGCAAACCTCCGCTATCATGTATCACAAAACTAATGTTCGTGCAAATGCAAATTCAAAGATCTGCCCGACTGACGAAGTAGAAGTATTATGTTTTATTAAGGCATTAAACCATCTTTTCTTTGCATCCTTTGTTCTTTTCTCCTCTAGCCCTCCCCTCTTCACATTTAGAAGCACATACACGGATAAAAATACAAAGTGATGATAAAAAATATGCTGGATATGAATAAATGAATGGGGGGATATGATGTCCCAGAGGACCAGATATTTTTCCGAAGATGGAATGCTTGAAATGAGCTTCAATTATTAATCAGCAAGAAGCAGAAGAAAGGCTGAAAACAAAGGAATAAATGGGGGAGAAAAAGGAGAAAGGGAAAGGTAGTAAAAACAGCGCTGATAACAACAAGGCTGAGTTGAAAGAAATACACTACAATCAGTGGGCAGGAAGAAAAAAAATCCATTGCTATACCACCGACAAAATGAAGTCTCTTGGGTTTGCCTTACTGGGAAAATTTGATGAAAAAATAGTACACATGACATAGAGACAGAGTAGCATATCCAGCAGATACAGCTTCTTTATTTTATCTCTAACACATGCTTAAAGGTCCACCAACAAAACAGCAACCCAAAGGGGGCACATCACCTCAAATGCAAGAGCAGATGCCTGCTCCAGTCAGAGGATCACCAAAGTCGGAAGGATTCGCCTTGTAATTATCATAAATGTCTGTGTAAAGTTTTGTGGCGATCCATCCAATTGAAGTTGAGATATTTCAGTCTGGACCTCAGTGGTGGACTGATATTGCCATCCCTAGAGCCACGCCATTAGCATTTTCTGTGCTGATTTATGGTACAGATGGAGCTTTTGGAGCACCACATGTTCAGATCCATTGAAGACCAGAGAAAATCTTGGTGTGTACTGAGCTACAAAATAACACAGCTGCAATTGTCAGCCAAACTACTCTCTGCTAATAGAGTGTTAAAGCTTACACACACCCAAAGGCCACTGGCACCAAGTATTGCTTTTGAACCTCCTGGCATGGCTCGTTACTAATATTCATCTGCTAATGGCTCCTAAAACCCATCTGGATGAAAGCTGTGTGTGAACACACATGCCACACATGCTATGGCTATAATACCGGCCTTCAGGTATTGTGGGTATCACTGCCAAGAATTATCCAATCAGACATTTAATGGTCTGAATAAAAGGATGAGAGGATGCAGCACAAACCCTTAACTCTCCCTGGGTAGTAGGACAGGAGTGCTTTAGTCCTTCAGCAACAATTAACTGTGTGTGTGTGCATGTGTGCGTGTCAGAAGCCAGGCAGCCAACACAGCTCGGATAAGTCTTCGCCCCCAAGTCACAGAGGGGGAAAAGGGGAAGACACACACATGCACTCAGGGGATGAGAGATGTTAACTATTAATAGTTTGTGAGCTCTACCTGATCAGAGCAGTGAAGTGGCCTCTCTCCTCCGCTTAATTGCATTTCTCCGCACACTAGTGCTTCATGGTTTGGGTTTCTTTTTTGCGTCTCTTGGTGCCAGTCCCATTTATCTACCCACCACCTTCTGTCTGCAACGCATGCCGAACATAGCAAGGTAAAACACGACAACAAAACACGTAAGGTGCAGGAAGCATGTGTATGAGTTCCTGTGTGTGTGTACTTAGAGTATGTGTGCAACCCACGTTTGTATTTTCTCTACAAGTTCTTGAGGCAATAAGACATCCTGCAGTTATTGGATTGTTTTGCTTGACTTCCTCTTTTTTGTGGGAGGAGAGAGACGGAGCAGGATAGTACTGCAGCACCTACAATGCATCGGACAAAGACAGCCTCCTCCCGTCCGGAGCACTCAGCCTCTCTAATGGCTAAATACATCACATTCATCTGGGTCTAACTGCCTACACAGTTAACTTAATAGTTCTGAAACAGATATGGCAATATAAGTGAAGGTATTTTAACCCTAACCTTCAACACATTTCAAAAAAATGCTGCCCACACTTTGAAATATTTTTATCTCTTGACTAGGGCACTTGTAAGATGCTGATGTCTTCCAGCTGACAGGGGCTCAGGCCTTTGGGATGGAGCTGCCAGTGTTTTCCCAGGCGGCTGAACATATTGGTGGCCATCTGCCTCTCTGCAAGCAGCGCCTTCACGCTGCGCCAAGCTGCCCACCCACTGAGTCCAGAGGCCATGGGCACTCTGCCCTCAAAGACCCAGCACCTCTCTATCATTTGGCTTCTTTGACATCTTAAGGTAGTGACTGACACTGAGGTGAAATACAAGGAAATGCACCGTCAATTAAATTAAAGGTCAGGTTCTACAGTCAGACCTAAGCCTGCCAAAACACAAATATTGCAGCTCAAATTATTATTCCTAAAAAAAAACAACAACACATTTACTTATCTAGTTGCGTTGTATCCTCAGCTGTCTTCCTCAAAAGCTTCAAATCAAAAATCACATTTTCAAAGGAAGAAGGGCAGAAATGTCCTGTCACTCTCAGAATCATCTGTCTGTTGTCACTGCGTATGACTAAAACATGAAATGATGAATATTCCCTCAGGCAGGATCCTGACAAGGAAAAACTAGCCTCTTAAATGCGTTGCCTCCAGGCATGTGTAGTGTTACATAATGAAGCTACACTGTGAAATCCATGAAGATACCCAGTATTACATGCAACTACAGTAAGTTCTCTCAGCAGCGTGACAGCTTCTTAGAATACATGGAGGATAATGACAATACCACATTGCAATAATGAATGCATTACCATGCAGAATAGACACATAAAATAGCCCGATACATTACACAAATATTTTGACAGACATGTGATACCAGGCTTCAAGAATAGAAGACATTTGTCTCAAGACAGTGATAGTTCTGATTTGATTATTGATTATTATTCCTGGATTCCTGGCAGAGACTTTAAGAGACTGGAACAGCCCAGTGCTACCCTAACGGGTATTTACGGTAGACAAGTGAATTGTTGCTGGCAGTGCACTTCCACTTGTCTTTTTGCTGCCAACTGCTGACGTGTGACACTCACTTCTTAGCACACAATCCCAGTAGCATAATTGCCAGAAGTAGCGTCAGAGATTTATCAAGTTTCTGAGTACAAAGGAGGTCCTGACAGTTCTTCCAGGTGAGCCGCAGACTGGAGGTGTTTATTACACAGATGGAGGTTTACAAGAAATTCTTCAGTATGTCACCAAGCACAGTGACACATAGTTAACAACACGCCCAAAAAGGAAATTTTAACAACTGACTGTCAGCAATTATTTCGCATCCTGTCTCAGCCATTTCCCTACTAATATGTTTATCTAGCCATATGAACGGACAATCATTAGGAGCAGGATGAAACAACAGATTTGGGATCTGTCTACCACGGCCTGCTTATAGCTCACTTTTTTACCGTAATCAAGACAGCAGGCTCTGCGGTAGCAGTGGATCCCGTGGTTTAAATCTGATCAAAAGAAGCTTTTCTTTTTTTTTTTTTCTTTTGAGTGGGCTGTCACACTGCTGGCAGAGAAATAACAAGCTATTCGTCGGTTGAGGAGTAATAACCACCCCCTCATTGGCTGCTCCCAATCCTAGCCCTGGAGAATCAGCCACTTCCTCCCCGCCGAACATCCACGTAATTAGCCACCGATACTGCTCACCCTCTCCAATCAAACATCAGCTATTGAAAGTGAGGCACCATGGGGACGAGGTAATTACCCTTGACACCGAAAGGCCCTCTCACTGCCCAAACCCTCACTGATGGGATTGAGAGCTTGTTAAAACACTGGAGGGATGAAGTTTGACAGACTAGCGATGGGTACAGTGGTAGGAAGAGTTGAGGGAGTTTCAAGATGGCTGAAAGAGAGGCTTACTGACACCTAAGTTTGACAGTGAAACCATGTGTGTGGTGGATACACACTGATGCAGACCAGTGGGCTGTCAGGAGCCTGTCTATGGGTCATTGCTCCTCAGCAAATGTTTCTCCCATCATATAGCTCAGATACAGTAGCACACACATAGAGTTGGCCTTGCCTTTCTGTAGACGATCATATTGGGGGAGTCCTCTTCGGGATCAGTGGTGCCCACGCCTCCCTGGTCTCTGGACCCCTCTGCCATTTTCACTAAGTCCTGTCGAAGAAACAGATGCACCACATGAACACAGCACCCCACATTCACTGGACGGTGGAAGAACACAAAATGACAATTTGATAAACATCAGTCAGCGTCATCTATTCCCCCTGCGAGCCAAAATTCCTCCAGCCTTTATCGTCATGACATTCAGCTGCCAAAATGTATGCTGCTGTCTGGGAAAGGAGGAGCCTGTCACAGTAGGGACAGATAAGAGAGCCCAGGTAGGCTGATGTAAGATGAATATTAACTAAGCTACAAAGTCAAATCATGAACATGCAATACAGCAGTGATTTTCAACCAGTACTCATACCTTATGGGGCATCTCTGCAGTTGCCATGCCAAAACTAAAGACTATGATTTGGTTCAAAAAATGTATCTGCATTTTAAGTTAGCTTTAACACCTGAAGACTATGTGTTGCAGTTGCGTAGTTAGCATAAGCAGGGAGGTCTAAACAGCTAAGGATAAATAGCTAAAAACAAACTGTTCAGATTGTTAGTTATCAGCTAAAGGTAATGGATAAACATAAAATAACTAGCTAAAAATAATGGAAATAGTTAGCTAAAAGCTAAAACTTACTTTTGGCTAACCACATGTATCCCTGTGGTTAGCCAAAAGTAAGCAATGAATGGTTGGAGTAATTTGCTAAAAGTAAAAGATACATTTTTAAATGGCTAAAAAAAATTGTTAACAGTTGAAATAGCTAAATTAACAGTTCAACAGTTGAAATGGATAGCTAAAGTTGACATAGTTAAAAGGAATACCAAATGTGATTTGGTAAAGTTGATGTCCAGCTTCTGTCACTCCACGTTAGTTTGTCCAAATGGGAACTTGACCACAATGAAAGATCAATTGTTCAAAACATATAATTAATAGTGCCAAATAACATCAATTGAACACATTTGAAATGTGAAGTGTGGTGATGAAGGAATATTTTATTCATCTGACACAGCTGTAGGGATACATCTGATAAAAAAACATTACTTATGCAGTACAGTATGACAGCTCAGGGTAGTCAGGGTGGCAGTAATTATGTATAAAGCACAGATGTGTTTACAACACGTAGTATATGTGGCTGTGATGAGTCATCTTTCTTTTTTTCTTTTTTTAAAAAGATGTTCATAATGAATGAACTCAGTGTTGCTGAGGTAAGACTGATGGTTTAACTTTGGTCAGTGCTGGCGTCTACATTTGCTTTTTATTTTTATGTTAAGCGTAAGTAAGTGTTGACTCCATTAACTGATGGTTACCTCTGATCTGCCTGCACTCCCCACATTACCCGCCCCCCCCCGGCTTCATACTTTAAGAGCTGCTGTTAAGGGATTTATTTACAACCTCCACACAGTCCCCATCACTTTCTCTAGGCTGTGTCCACACTCGCTCCCTCCCACTCTCTCAGGAGAATTAATTCTGTTTAACTAAGGATTTCTGTAACCTACACTGATGATTGTGTTTCAACGAGCCCCCTTAGCCCCGTCTACCCTTTGCCATTGAGGGCTCCTGTGTGTTAAAAATGGGTTAAACCATTTTTGTTAGTCCCTTAATCGTGTGGAGGGAAGAGGGCGTGAGGGGGTGGATTACACAGTTCGACACATTCATAATTTTTGGTACTTAAAAAAATACAAAGTGCGAGAGGATAAAGCTGCCAGGAAAAAAATAATCACACGGCTCACTGGACCTCACTATTCACTGTAACAGCTATTTGTGTTTGAAAAAGAACTGTGATAAGCTATTGAGGAGAGAAGGCACAGAGGACACAAGACAGCACTTCATGACAGGCACACATGAGCAGGCACAATATGAAACAATATGAAACCTTCATACATTAACTGAATTAGTAACACTGCATCTTGCCAAGGGCCAGCGGCTGGCAAGGGATTTGGAGTAGTTGAATTATGTAATTGCAGCCGTGCAATGTTACAAGTTTGAACAACTGCAGATAATGGCTCTGGTGGAGAGAGAGGTGGAAATTAAAATTGTTCACATTCAGCGTGGCACCAGCTTGCACAACAGCAAGACATGCAAGGTGGCTTTGTCACCATAGTTGAACACTTAAATCTATTACACCACAGAGCATGGTGATGTGCATGAGTGAATAAGTAATCATCCGCTCTCGCCTCACTGTTTGTTATTGCCACCAGAAGTGCGGAGTGCAGCACTCCCCATTGGCTAACACGCCTGTGCTCTTTTTAGAGTCTGAGCACATTAGACAGCTAATCTTTGTGTTCGCCTCAAGGGCCGTATAGAAAGGCAGGCAGTATGGATTGCATAGCACCTGCTTAAAGAAAACAATAGTGTGCCAATATGTCACCTGTGGACAGGAAGCTGTAATTCTAGAGAACAACTACCTCCCAATTGAGCTGCTCAAGCATGTAAATCAAAGTCCACAGAGGGCCCGTCCAAGACGTTAATTGAAAGCGTGTGTCAAAGTGAAGCGGACAGAATACGGACCCTGACAGCTGCTTCAAGACAGCAAGAGAGCACCAGCATACCCTCATGTACAGTGCATGTGTGAGACTCTGCACATGCACACTCTCAAATCCAAGCGCACTGCAAATATCAATTTACGGGGAATCAAACACAAAAGGAGACTGCACACACACACACACACATATATTCACAGGGCAGAACCCCCTGCAATGGCCCAAATAAACAAGCCCACAGACGCCCAGTCAACTGAAACAAACTGAATAAACTAGCAAAGAGTTCACACACAAACATGTACAAAACAAGCTGTGCTCCAGATACACCCACAACCATATTGTGATTGTGAATCCAAAAGCCCAATTCACTCTCAGCAGGCGAGCAGCCTAGTGCAATGCAACATCTGTGACACCTGACAGTTGACATTACTGAAGCATTCATTACCTTAGAAACAAAATAATGCCTGGTCCACTCTGCTCCCCTGGTTGGCTCCCCCTTAGCAACAAGCAGCAGGCAGGTTCATGGTATAATTGGCAGAGGGGGAGAGAAGGGGATGAAGAAGACAGGGGGATGAAAGCAGTGAAGCAGCGAGAGAAAGAGAGAGTGAGTGAGAGAGAGAGAGAGAGAGAGAGAGAGAGAGAGAGAGAGAGAAGCTGGCCGGTCACTGCAGTATTCCTCTATTCCTCCTCCTCCTCTTCCTCTTCTTCTCCTCTCTTCACCAGCCCTGCCTTGCCCCAGCAGTTCAGGAGATCCTCACATGTGTGCACCTCGTTCATCCCCCCTCTCTCTCTGTCTGCATGTGCTCGAGTCTCAGTGAGAGCGAAAGAGTCGAGTGTGTGACAGAGAGAGAGAGAGCGAGAGAGAGAGGGAGGGAGGGAGGGAGATGCTGTGCAATAGAGAGGGGCAGATCAAGTTGGGAAAGGGGGAGGGATGAAGGAATTAGAGAGAATATAAAGAGGAAAATAAAGGGAGGAGAAAGACAGGCAGAGAGAGAGAGATAGGGAGAGAGAGACAGTGTGTGTGTGTGTGTGCGAGAGGCAGTAAGTGTGTGTGTATGTGTTTGTGTGTGTGTGTGTGAGATGGAGAGAGCGAGAGCAGGGGATGCACAGTGAAGAGGAAAGGAGGACAGAGAGATGCACACTGCAGCAGCGCCCACTGATGCTGAAAATAAGAAACATTTCATTAGAGGGATATTGAAATGCTAATTTAAAAACAAGTTACTGCTACTGAACACACACAAATGCAGACTATAAATATGTATTCCAGACTCTTTGAGCAAACAACCTGAGAGATAATACCTCTCAATTTCCATTTAAAGCTCACGCGCAAGCGGCTGCTTATTGCTCGCAGGCTATATGATCCAAAGTTAGACATTTTCCCACAACTTATATTTGTATTTCTGCAGCTTATATCTTTTTACATTACCACCAAATTCCATTTGTTGCGCTTGAGGATGGCAAACATGCACTCATGTTTCTGTCTGCAGCTATTCCACTCTTGCATGTCTATGTTCTCCTCCTTCCTCTCCCTTCATGGAAACTCTGGAATCATTCAAGCTTAAATGGCAGCCCGAACGAATGAACCTTTTTTCCTGCAATAAATGAGATCCCAAAAGCCCCCGAGGAAGATACTCCAGAAATACATGGCATGGCCAATTTGTGAATGCATGCATGCAGAGTGAACACACACACACAGAGAGACACACAGACACACACATACAGATGTTGTTGTGTTGACAGAACCAGTTCACCAGTTATCAAAGAAGTATCTTGCTTGCTTCTCCTCACTGTGTGTTTCTTCTCTCTTCCAGCAGGGTGTTGGTATCTAAGTGGAGGTCTTGGCTCTGTATAAACCCCCCTTTTCATTGCTTTTGAAAATATCGGGGGTGGTTCAAATATTCTTCAGAGACAGGAAAGACCTTTTTTTTTTATCAAGCTGAACAGATGAAAGCCCAGTTCTCATTAATAAAAGTAAATTTGTTCAGTATTTATCTTCAGGCAAAAGGCAGATTAAAATTTGAACAACTCAAAAATGCTGCTTTCAGTACATGTGGTAACCAAGGGAAACCGAGGTCACACAACGTGAGTGAGTGGCATGCCTATTACAGTGTGAAAGCATTCCTCGGCCCAGAGTGCTTATACCCCACACATTTCTCTAACACTTTTCAGGAGGAAAAGAGCAAGTCATATACCGCCATCCCCCAATTATTAGAGCTCTGCCATCAAAACTACACATCAACCTTTCTATACATCAACCATATTGTTATATGACATGACCATCCCACCCCCCTGATTATAACCAACAACAAACCACACACATGACCCACACTGACTGCATTGACCTGCAATCAGCATATCTTCCTGTCCCATGAGCTGCTCTGGCATTAAGGAGTACCATCATTAACAAGGTGACAGGCAGGCAGACAGGGACTTCTCTAATCTGCTTTAAGGGGGCCAGCCCTGCTATAATCTGCATTAATGCTAAATTATTGAACAGCCTGTTCACAGCCTCACCACTGCCAGAGAGCAACACTACGTAGGCCACACACGTGGCACCACAGAGGTCCACCACACAGGTGTGAAATTATTTAAAGGATGAGTTCATAATTTTGTTCACTGGCGGTGAAGAGTCTATCATCAGTCTACCTGATGCAATCCCAATACAGGAGATGGGGACAAAAATCCACGGTTCATGCTCCATGCGGAAATGTGTTCAGAAGTTTAGCTAAAGCCAATGAAGCTTCCAGTCAGTTGAATTAAGTTGTATTGTATTTTGTATTGTATTTTAGTCAATAGTCAGTAGTCTGTTTAGCCCCAGATTCCTGCTTTTTAGCCATGCTAGCAGTGTGGCTGTAGAGATAACAACGTCAGATTGCCATGAAATTACCTACAGATATTCTTCTAGGTCCCTTGAAGGTAAATTCTCATGTCCTTGGTGATCCTGTGAAGTGTAATTATCATGTCAGAATTAAAGTTTGTCCATTTGTCCTATTTTTACTTGCTGCTTGCCCTCCACTGCAGCTCATCAAGTAAAGACTGTGAAAACAGAAGAGAGAATTTTGTTCTAAAAAGAATCCAATCGAGACACCCACTCGATTTATCTAACTCAGACTGCTGAAGCCTCAGTAGCTTCACCTTCAGAAATGCATTTCTGCACAGATCTAGGACTGTAGATTTATCTCCCATCTCTTCCACCGGAATCACATTACAAAGGAATCTCTTTGTGATCAGTATGGACAAGAGGAACAATTACAACAACAATACCTTAATGTGCACGTGGCCATGGCACTATTTGTTAAAGAAAATGTGAACCTATGCTTTAATCTAATGAATATCCAACACAGATTTGCTGTAATAGGCTGCAGTAATCAAAACTCTGCAAGAAATCACACTGCAGTCATTTTGTGGAACCATAATTGTCCATGTCTTCACCCTGGCGTCTCTTAGGCTATCCTCATCCATCAATCTGTCCCACCCAGGCTCATCTCTGTCAGGGGGAATGCCTTGTGTAATCATGTCTAAGTGGAAAAACAGCACCACTCTGTTAATCACAATACAACAGCAGGCAGCCACCTCCTGCCAGGCCACTGACAGGTATCCGTTTACTCTTGCAGCCACCTCAGATGGCCCCAGTGGTTATATTACTTTACTGTTTCTGTCTCATTTCGTCTTTCTGCGTTGTCAATATTAATGGTGTGTCAGTCGCATCATATCTGCCGCAAAATGCCACACCAAAAGGCCACTCAGCAAGGCGAAGTGTAATTCAACAAAATATCTTTAATAGATATAAACATTTTGTACACATCACAGCTCAATGGAAACAGAATCACATGCTGTCACACATGTTAAGAATGAGGGTGCAGGGACGATCTGCTGTGCTAGGGGCCTGGGACCTTTTTCGTCCGAGTCTGGCTCATGGTGTTTGTCCTTGTCGTATCCCCTGTTTATCTTTCATGTTGCTCCTGTCACTCTCCACTATATCCAAGCCAATAAAGCAGAAATACATCAAAAATAATCTTAAAAAATAAGAATGAAGGTGCAAATTCTGATGAATATCAAATTCTCCTTATGTACAGTTGCACAGTATCTTAGTACAAAAGGAAACAGGTGTAATGTGAGGCTTAAATAAGGACTTTGTCTGGTCATGTACAGAACTAATTCAGGTTGGGCTGACAAGCAGATTTACACACTACAGAAGCCTGTAGCTGGAATTTCAGGATTTACACAATATCTTACTATGTAATCATATATTTAACAGTACCGATTCACTCTATTCAGAGAGTCAAGGATCAGATTGAGGCCTTTTTAACATGCTATAGATGGAGGAGGGGTCAATTCCATGTAGCATTTTACATGTTGTCAACACTAGGTGGCACTGTCTATCAAACCACTGCAGCAGCAAAGGCTGGAATAACCTGTGAGGATAAAAAAACAAAAACAAAAACAAAAAAAAAACATAAGAAGAATTAATAATTTGGATCAAAAGCCTGCTTTCTCGTGTGGGAACCTTTGTTTTGAGTTAAAGGATATATATTCTCTAATAAAAGGAGGCTGACCATTATAAGTACATGCAGATCTTTAACTGCATATGGCTGTTTTTCTTAAATTGGCCATCATCTTTGTCATAAATACTCTTTACATACAGTATCATATCAAGGGAAGCAGTGAGAAAATACCTGTTAACATCATATATTTACAATAATCTGAATAAGTGACACTGAACTGTAAATTTCTATATTTATGGCACCCATATTATTCTGTTTTTACAATATATATTCTTTTCTTTTTCTTGTGACCAGTAGTCCTGTACAAGTTTTACTTGCTTTTATCCCTCTAGAAATCATACATTTGATACACTTGTACAATCTTATTACATAGGCAATGCAGACAGGCACTTGACCTTACAGTGTTTACAGTATGTGCTATGCCAAGGGTCTCTCTGTCTGTGTCTATCTACCCACACTGCTACTGTAAAAAGCATAGTGTCTCATCTCATAGAGCTCGTTTTCTTTTGGTTAGTAATGAAAACAAATAATCAGCGCTGTTATCACTGAACTGTGAAAACTGGAGAATATGTAAGCAGCATTTACAACACATTGTCACTTAATTCTTGAAAAGTGTCAAGCTTTATCAGGGGAATACGGGGCTATTTTCACCAATTCTTGCATGGAATGAACACATTTTAAATTGCGTTGGAGCTTTTTAATTGGAAATCTGTTCACTTGTAATTAGGTTAGCTGGGCAGCTAAATGGGGACAGTAACTTTAAATCCCTTTAGGTAAGTTTCAACATCTTGCTCTCTCTGGCATGCAGGGATACCAACAACCCATTAGATTGGACACAAAGCATCATATCATTTTAAGAAGGGAGTGCATGCTGATCAAACTGTTACACCACTGCTCTTTCTCTGTATTCCTCTGTCCTTTCTCGTAACGATTCTTTGTCTTTCACTAGGATAATACCAC